GTACTTTTAATATTATTTTAATATAATAAATAAATTTTTATATTTAAAAAAAACAATTTTTTATATCATATCAAAAAAAAAAAAAATTCACAATGGGACGTCTCAATGCGCGCCTAGGCACGCATAGACTCTCCTGATGCGCACATTGTCACGCATTGAAACACATAGGCGCGCCTAGGCGGTCAACAAAAACCGTTGACCGCATTTTTACGCGCATTGCCCAATTTGACACGTTTTTTACGCGTGTAGCGCCTAGGCGGCGCATTTGCGCCAATTTTAGAACATTGGTTTATATAATCATTGTTGCTTCTAATAAAATTTGTGAGACTTCTGCAAGGGAAATTGGAACTTCGAAGCTGCAAATCGCAATGAGAAAAAAGACAGTAAGTTGGAAGCCACGCATTATGAGAAGGCAAAGGGACTCTACAGTAAAGTATGTCACCTGATCTTGGAAACCACTATGTTGAATATCCAGTCCTTTTCCATTTTCTTTCTTTTTTAAGTCCAGCTAAATATTTATTCGTAAATTCATGTGATGATGTTGGACTTGTTGGTTTTTATCTTATAATTAAAGTGAAGAAGTTCACCAGGCTGTTTTATACTCATTCAGATGGCATGGTTGGCAATTTTCTTTTTATTTATTACTAAATTGCATTAAGCCAAGGCTAAAGTTTCTCATGATATGCAACTGGAATATTCCATGTACCAGGTTCTGTTACAGAATTCTGCTAACCTCTATGCGGCAAATGGTGCTGGAATGGTGTTTGCTGAAAAAGGTCAATTTGATGTGGCAAAGGATCTATTTACACAGGTTATGTGTCATTAATGAGCTTGTTATGTGTCATTAATGATCAAAGGAAAGATTTTACACTGTTTTGAGTGTCTTATGCTCTACCTCTGCAGGTTCAAGAGGCTGCAATCGGAAGTTCTAATGCCCAGATGCCAGATATCTGGATCAATCTGGCACATGTTCACTTTGGTCAAGGCAATTTTGCATTGGCAGTGAAAATGGTTTATTCAGTGTTTTCTTTCAAATCTACTTTTAAGATGAAACAACCTACCTTAATTTCGTGTACAATGTGTAATTGTCATTACGTTTTGCAGTATCAAAAATGTTTGCAGAAGTTCTATTATAATACAGACAGCGAGGTGCTACTCTACATTGCGCGCACACATTATGAAGCTGAACAGTGGCAAGACTGCAAAAAGGCTTTATTAAGAGCCATCCACTTGTCTCCTTCAAATTACAAATTTAGATTTAATGTAGGAGTTGCAATGCAGAAGTTCTCCTCTTCAACTCTTCAAAAGATGAAGAAAAGTGTGAATGAGGTTCTCATCTTTTTGCTTGATTTATTTTTATTTTGAATCAAACAACCAGTATAAGACAATAACTGTTTGTGCTTCGTTTTCTTTAGAACTGCTTGAACGATAATTTTGTTTAGGTATAAATCTCACATCATTTCAACAGAAATATAGACAATTATATAAAGGTTTGAACTACTCCTCTCAACAAGATTGTTAAGAGGAGTAACCAAACCGTTATATATTAGCCTATATTTTGGTATTTTAACAACTTAGGATTTATCCCACAGATTCTGCATCATTTCATTTCTAGAGTTGTTGCTTTTCTTAATTCCAAGTGCCAAAATTTCAATGCTATTGTTTATCAGTTTCCATGAACTTCAGTGTAGCATCTAAATTACCCTCAACACTTCCTTTGCCTGTTCTGAGACTCTCTCCGTTCTCCTTATTGAACTTTTTTCCTGATGATGTAGGTGTTGGAAACTGTAGCAGAGCTTAAGAATGCTGTTCGTTTGTTCAGCTTTCTGTCTGCAGGTTCAGACCTTAGTTTTCATAGATTTAATAGGAGGAAAATAGAAAATCGTGTTAGATATTCCCAGAGCTTGCTTGATGCTGCAAAAGTTCATTGTGTGATTGCTGAGCGTGAAGAGCAGCAAAATCAGGAAAGAATAAAGATTAGGCATCAGGTGGAACTTGCTTATGAATCTCTGAAAAAGGCAGAAGAGCAGAGAAAATTACAGGTCATTAGCTGTTAATTTCTTGATGCTTTAAATAATTTGGTGCTTTAAATTTACTCAAACAAAGTGCAATACAGTTGGAGAGAAAGAAACAAGAGGATGAACTGAAGCAAGTTAAGCAACAAGAGGAACATTTAGAGCGTATCAAGGTAATAGTGAAATATTTGTTTTTTTTTCATTCTGTTGTGCATTTGGGCATTTCCTTAGTTCATTTCCTTTCTTGTTCAAGAATTTTCCTACGTAAGTTCTCTCTGACCTTTCAAATTTTCTTATCATCCAAGAATTATTATTAGAAATGTAGTTCGTAGAATTTTCCATCATCTTTTCCTGAAATCTTCCATCTAACGTTTGGATTATTTTTCCTTTGGTCAATTTTCGGATAAACTCCAGTAAAAGGAGAATTGATTTGCCTGTTTCTTTTTCACATCCTATCAAGTGACAATAACATTCACGTCAATTAATTACGGATTACAAAAATTCATGTTGTTCAAATGACTTTTGAGAACTTGTTCCACACAATGATAATTGGTTTCTACTTTTAAAACTAGTTCTCATCCTTTTCTATCATTTCCTTCTGCATGATTTTTTTGCCTTCAGGAACAATGGAAGAGTAGCATTACTGCTTCAAAACGGAAGAATAAGTCTCAAACTAAAGATGAGAATGGGAAAGGCGAGAAAAGGAGGAGAAAAGGGGGAAAGCGGAAGAAGGAAAAGAAGACGCATTATGAATCAGAAGCAAAAGCATCCAAGGAGGTACATGAAGAAGCCAATAAGAACCATCAAATGAAAGACATTGAAGATCAAGTAGAAAACAATCCTCAAGATCTTGCAGCAGATACCCTTGAAAACCATCTCTCTCTCTCTCTCTCTCTTTCTCTCTCTCTCTCTCCCCATCAATGTTCCCAACCCTCTATGAGTATGGAGGATATGACTTTGTTGAGTTGCATATGTGTAGCGTTGATATATTTGTGGTCTTTATAATCCTACTCGGGTTTTCAATTTCAGAGTTTCAATTTTGTTTTTTATCCTTTTTTGATTTCATCTTCTGATTCCTGTTCTTCCTTATCTTTTCTTTGGTGAAGGTTGCACCTTCCTCAAGCGCCAGGCCCTCCAAATGAGCATTGTCGGTAACAGATGAAGATGAGCCGTTGAATGTTGGTGGTGCAGTTGAAGATAAAAAAAAATAGAAGTTACCTGTAAAATGTCAGTCTGAAACTGTTGTTGTGACTGTGAAATAGATATCCTTATTTGCGTTGTCTGTCATGCGTATATTTAACTTGGGGGATTATATGAAATTGTTGTAGATGTATAACAATGTTAAATTTTTTTTAGTTATTTGCAAAATGAGTTTCTAAAAGCTATTTTTTTTGCTTGACAAAATTTAACTTTCTATCATGAAAATTAACTTTTATTAACAACCAAAGATGCTTTATAACCAATAAGAGAATTAAAACACAAAACATTTAAGAGAATTAAAACACAAAACACCCGTTGAAGTATTATTTTCTTTCCTTCCTTCCTTTTTTTTATGTTCAAGTATCTTAATTAGAAATTGAAAAATGTCACTATAACAAAATTGTGATTTCGCGATAAGATTTTTCGCGGCATACAAAAATTTGTCGCAATAAATGACTTAACGCACATATTTTTAAAATTTGTCGCGAAAATTGTGATGAAAAAAATATGTACCAAATAAAATAAGGTGACATAAAAATTGTCGTGAAATATAGGAAGTTGCGACAAACAATAAAGAATGTCATCAAAAATATGAGGGAAGTAAGGCGCCAAAATATTTTTGGTGCGAAACTAATGGCGACAAACTTTTATTTCCTGCAACAATTTGCTTGTGATGCAATAGAGTCTACTTTTTGCGGTAAAAATTATTTTTTGCTAAAAATTTTATAGTTGGAGGAAAAATCGCTACAAGAAAAATAATTTTTTTTGCAACGGACAAAAATGTTGCAATAGGTTTTTTACAATGTTCACCCGTATATTGTAAGATCTAATATTGTCGTAAATTAGAAGGATACGGCAACATGCAATGCATGCTGCAAAAGCCCTCAAATGTATGTTGTACAACGTACCTCGTGTTGCTTTTATTATATTTTGTAACACTATTTTCTTGTTGTTTTAACTTCTTTTTGCAGCGACATTTTTTTGTAACAGTGTTTATTTTTTTTGTTTGGCTAAATTTTAGTATGTAATACAATTTTTTTTTAATTTTAATTATTTTTAGAGGAAAATTTTGATTTCCAAAAAAATCATTAGACGATTAAACTTTCAGTTACATAATAACTTACAAAAAAGAACTATTAGGTCGAACCAATCTATAGAGAAAAATAGATGTCTCAACACTTAAAACAAATAAATATACAAATCATAATTCATATATTATCAGCAGGCTGTGGCAAATGAATGATCTCGAGGATTAAAATGCATTATTTAAGAAAGTGGGGCCTTGATAACAAACATTATTTTAAAGGGTCTCCGACCAATTGGAATGGAAATCAACTTCTCAATTGGAATTGGACTTTGTTTGAACAAAAATAAGGCTGGAGGAATAAAAAGACTCCTTTTGGAACAAGGGTACTTGGCTGTATATTACACGGCGTAGGGCAAAATAGATACAGAGATACAAACGGCACACGACAGAAAGAAAAAGGAAAAGACGGACGGCAATTGGAGAAGAAAAACTTCCTGATTTGGTAGAAATGCATTTAATTTTTTCGGTCACTAGATGTGGTAGAATCTAACTTATATCACCCTGGAATCTCTGCAAGTTACGAGAAATGGATTTTTCAAGGAGAGGAACTTGAGAATGATATGGAGGGCGCTGAGAATTGGACAAAGAAGAAAATGATGATGAGATGAATGATATGTTCGAAGATCTATGTGCTCCCATGTCATCTGAAGCTAACCAAACTCGAGATGAATGATATGTTTGAAGATCTATGCATCTCAAAATTTATTTATTACAATTTTCACATTAAATTCTGGCTCAAAAGACTTTCAGTTATTGGCTTTTGATAATTTTTGATCAAATTTCAGTCTTATTGAGTGGATAATTTTCTTTTGGGTGGGGGGGGGGAGGGGGGGCTCTTATTTGCGTGATGGGCTCTTATTTGCGTGATGGGTTCTTAAATGCAATTCAATCATTAAATACTTAGCAGCCATGGAAAATTACTCCATTTGGGCTTGTGTGATACATTTAATGCTACTTAAATTCCCCCACTTGGTAAGTCCTTATTTTAATGCCTCTGAATTTTTTATATACGCTAACACTTTTTGTTAAAATTTCCATTAATTTTTTCAAGCAGAAATCTCTCATTCATGTCAATTCTGTTCTCGCTTTCTATGCACTCGAGTGTGGATATGCACAATTTGAGATAATTTTTAGTTTCCTTTTTTTAGTTTTTGATTTGATAGTTTGTTATGGATTACTTTTTTTTTCCCTTCTGGCAGTTAATTTAGTTTAGTTCATAAGCATAATTCATGTGAAAATTTTACTAGTTTGTGGATTGGTTTAAGTTTTCAGAAATGTTAAGTCATTCTTTTATTTTTAGTAGAAATGAAAAACCTGGTTTCTTCTCGTGACATGACATTTTTTCTCTTCTATAGTTGTGATATTTCTACTTCTATATTCAAGCATTCTTTTCATAAAGCCATGAGTTAATTTTAATGAAGTTACGTTTTCAAATAAATATGTACCATAGAAACAATTTTATTGTGACATAAGAAATTGAAAATCAAATGTTTGAAATAGAATCTACGAC